ACAGCGAAGATAATGATGACGCGGAGGAAAACAGCCTAGGTTGTGTCTGGACTTCACGCCTTGCTGCACGAGTTATCTTTCGCGCTCGCGCGCCGCCCTCCTGAGGAAAGCCAACTCTCTGGACCCGATCGAGGAGCGCGCGGCGCGGTGATTATCGTGCCCCTGCGGGCGACGTGGGTGCCGCACAAGATTGGGGCTCCCTTGGGGATCTTTACAACAGCAACAACAACAACAACAGCAACAACAGCAACAACCATAACAACAACAACAACCACAACAACAACAACAACAACAACAACAACAACAACAACAAACATAATAGCAGCAGCAACAGCAACAACAACAGCAACAACAACAGCAACAACAGCAACAACAACAACAACAGCAGCAACAACAGCAACAACAGCAACAGGAACAACAACAGGAACAACAACGACAACAACAACAACAACAGCAGCAGCAACAACAACAACAACAACAACAACAGGCGCCTCTTGGGGCCTCTTTGGGGCGTCTCATGGGCTTCTGGGGGACCCTTCGGGGCCATCCTGAGGCCCTCTCGGGCGCCTCTGAGAAGCCTCTTTTGGGCATCTTGGGGGTCTCCTGAGGCCTCTCCGAGCACCCCTGGGGCCACCAGTGGAGGCGGGTTTACTGATAAATCTTCCCACCTCATAGCTCGCACATCAACTATTCAACATACGAAGCGGATGCCAGGCTCCTCCGTCACAGCGTCTGCGAGTCGCCGCATCACGAGAGTGAGGGTGACGGCGGGGCGACGATTGCACAGCAGGCCCTCCCCCTTCCCTCCTTCCCTCGCCCCGCCCGGAGTCATCAGCAGGCGCACCGACGGCAAGGGGAACGGAGTGGCGCGCCCCGGGAAGGTGCGCCCAAGCTCTCCCGGGGGTGCCCAACCCTCCGGCAGGCAAGTCGGGCCGTGGCCGCCCCCGCCCTTCTGCTCGGGGCTCGCTCCTCCCGTGCGCGCGGCGGTCCGCCGACCACAAACCTTGCGAGAGGAGGCGGGCAGGAGGGCGCCGGCGCAGCGGTGCTGCTGCCACGTCGGCCATAAACGGGCGAGGGGTCTAAACTTTCCAGCCGCCCTGGGACAGGCGCCCCCGACAGCGAAAAAGTTTATGTTATACCGTTCTTCGCCCGTTAAGACCAGGGTGTCGCTCGCAGTCTCCCCCCCACGTCCTTGAGGCAGGAGCCGCTCAATGCACAGTTGCGGTTGGACATCTTGGCAGCGTCGACTGCCTCGCGCCGAGGACGGAGAGAGGAGGAAGTGAGAGGAGGAAGAGGAGGAGGAGGAGGAGGAGGAGGAGGAGGAAGAGGAGAGGAGGAAGTGAGAGGAGGAAGAGGAGGAGGAGGAGGAGGACGACGACGACGCCGAGGAGGACGGCGAGAAATAGAAGCGCCAGGGGCCCAGGAACTGAGAGCTTCAACGTGACGCGGCCGCAGCCTCAGTCTTGCTGGAGGGGGCGAGGGCGCAACGCGCCGGTGAGGGTGGTGATATGGGGAGAGCCAGCTGGCATGAAGTGACCAGAATTACGAATGGTGGATCTCTCTCTCTTTCTCTCTCTCTCTCTCTATCCGGTCGCATGCGCCCTCGCGCTCTTCACCTACACACATATATCTCTCTCTTCTCTCACTCTCTCTCTCTCTTTCTCTCTCTCTCTCTCTCTCTATCTCGCTTCTTGGCTTACACAGATCAACCCGACCTGTCGGCGTGTGGGATCCAGTGGCCGATTCAGGGGCAAAAGTTCCAGGAGAGGAGGCGGAGAAGGGAGAGCAGGGGGAGGAAGGGGAGGAGCAGGAGAGGAAGGGAGGGGAGAAAAGATGACGACGACGAAGACTACGACGACGACGAAGACGACGGCGACGACGACGACGTGACGGCGACGACGACGACGACGACGACGACCAGGACGAGGTCTGCCGGCGCGCGCGGGCGGAGTTGGCCAAAACGCTTACAGGCAGGGGGGTGGCAGGAAGAAGCCGAGGCGCTGGCTCTGGCTCTGGCGGAGGCACGCGGAGGCGGGCACCCAGGGGGAAGAGAGGGTGACGGATCAGCAGAAGGGGGAAGGAGAGGACGAGCAGCAGAAGGGGGAAGGAGATCAAGGGAAAACACAAGCGGGAGGAGGAGGGAGAAGGAGGAAGAGGAGGAGGACTACGAGGAATCGAAATGTGTATACGAGGGAGGTGGAAGAGGAGGAGGAGGAGGAGGAGGAGAAGGCGAACACCAAGGAGGAGAAGAGGACGAGCAGCGGAAGAGGAAGAGGATCGAACAAGAGCACGAGCGGGGGTGGAGGAAGAGAAGGGTGCTGCTGCCATCAGCTGGGTACGAATTGACCCCCTCCGTCCCAAGAAAAATACCCCAAGAAAGTGTATGAAGGCAGTCGAGCGGTAACAGCAGGCCACCCCTGTCCGCTAGCTTCGAAGAAGGGTGGCGGCGCCCACACGGTGGCCATGGCGAAATTCGACGCTATCTTGTCCGCGATGGCCTGGCGGTGGATCACTGTGTGTGCGCGATTACCTCACATCTGCGATACCTCCCCAACCTCCCCCGTGCACCCACGTCGTTCCTCCTCCTCCTCCTCCTCCTCCTCCTCCTCCTCCTCCCCTCTCCTCCACACTCATCATCTCCTTCACCCCCACCACCCCCACCTCCTCATCCTCCTCCTCCTCCTCCTCCTCCTCCTCATCATCCTCCTCCTCCTCTTCCTCCTCTCCTCCTCCTCCTCCTCTTCCTCCTCCTCCTCCTCCTCCTCCTCCTCCTGCCTCCTGCCTCCTGCCTCCTGCCTCCTGCCTCCTCAAGCAATTGGGCCCGAGAGGTTTGCAGGGGAGCAGATCCAACGGGCCCACTGTAGCGCGCGCACCGCGCGTCCGCGCCTGCCCAGCCCGCAGGTTCGAGGCGCGCTCGCGGCTTGAGGGGCACACCATCAGGTGTGGCGGAAGTCGCAGCAGAATCACGACGGCTACTACGGCAGCATGGTTTGTCAACGCCCGCCCTGGAAGCAAGGAGGTCGAGCTGCAAGCGGGGCTCGATCGCAGTCGAGGTCGACGAAAGACTACCAGGGCGGGACGAGGAGGAAGTTTGTGGTTTGCAGTAAGTGCACTCCTTCTGGCAGCAGTTGGATCTATTATGATCGCATGTCAGACAAAGCAAAGTGCACAAAGTGTGGAACAGCGTGGGCATATTCCCAGACAGGACAAGCTACAACCGACCCACAGACGCAGTTCCTGGTCGCCCTCCTCGCAGATCAGTACAAAGAAGCAAAAGAAGCCAACAACAGAGAACGGGTGGATCTGCTGGAGCAAGCCTGTCCACAGCTACGAGCTCCGGACCCCGTACCCGTCCCAGAACCAAAGCCTTTCGAGGAGCTGGAAGCCGCGGCGCAGGAGCTCCGCATGGTCACGGCGGCAGGCGAGAAGTTACGCAAACGACTCCAGCGCAATGCAGAAGAGCAGAAAGACATCCTCGACAAGCTGGCAGACAACAAGTTGGCAGAAAAAAACCTCAGAAGAAGGTGGACCTGTGCCGCGATAAGGTCCCAGGACTGCCTCCACCGACTTCGGCCCCTGGAAGCAGCTACTCCAGAGCTCAGTCCAGAAGAATTGGCCTTCTTGAGGGACGAAGAAAAGAAGGAGTACGAAGCAGCAAAAGAGGCAGCAACGGCGGCACAGAAAACCTTGGAAGCAGCTAAAGGAGCCACTCAGGCTCGCAAGGAGGCGGCAGAGAACCTCAGGAAGTTCGCAGATAAGGCCCAGGAATGCAAGCGTCGACGTGGCCATGGAGGTGCAGCATCCGTGGGCGGAACTCAGCAAAAGACAGATGACCAAAAAGCAGAGGATCCGTCAGGGCCGACCAAGCCTTACGATTTCACCATACCCACCTACGTGGACAAGTTCCTGGAGAACACGGTGCGGATTCGTGAGCGGAACAAGACTGTGGTGGCGGCGAAGCCAGAAACGAAGTGTTCCTAACAGGCAGCGCAGAGTCACTTTCCAGGACCCCATCTGCGACGTGCAGGACCAGACAGACGATGGCAAGCAGTACTCACATGCATTCGTGGCGAATGTTTCACAGTACAATGCATCCGCCAGACAGCTCATTTTGGATTCCCCAATACGACGTGGTGGGCCTGGTGGAACATCATCTACAACGAACGAAGACCGCCGAGGAGGCCCAGAGGCTTCAGCCGTACGGCTGGCACTCCCAGCACACTTGGACGGCGGCAACTCGTACGGGGCGATCAGCAGACGGCACTCATGGGGGAGTGCGTTGGCTACGTCGCTCGCATCTTCAGACTGCAGTGCACCTACCCACTGTCAAGGGGACAAGCGCCTTTGAGAAGGAGCTGAATGACATCGCGGCGATGCGCTGGGATTTGAAAGGCGGCATTCGCATCACGCTGTTTGTTGCGCACTTGGACAGTGGCCCTGGCCTCACGGGGCCCAATGCGAAGAAGATGAAGCAGCTGGCGCAGTTGACGGCAAGTATATCCACACCGTGGATGGCCTTGGGCGACTGGAACGTTACACCAAAGGAGTTCATGCAGTCCCCGTGGGCCGAGAAGCTCAAAGTGACACCGATGTGCCCGAACGTCGACGCCACCTGCATTAGCGGCAGAGGCCGCATGTTGGACTACGTCATATGTCCGACGCATGTCAGACCTTTCTGAGGAGGCGCCTCGGCGGTCACGACGGTTCCTTGGAGGCCCCATATTGGAATAGACATTCGAATCGCAAGGAAGCCAGCCAGATTACAAATACTGTCTCCTGTTCGAGCAGAGCAGCATAAGATCCCGCACGTCAAGATGAACGTTGACAAGGGCATTAAGAGGCAGCAGCGAGATCGAGAAAAGCATGCGAAGCTTACAGAAAATATGCTCGGGCTTGACGATTTCCCTACCGATGGTGACCTCTCGGAAGAGGAGCAGACACTTCAACAAGAGAGAGCAGACATTGACAAGTTGCTCGAACCAACGTATTCCAGAGAAGGTTTGGCCGCAGTTTCGGATGAACTTTGGCATGAGATACTGCAACAAGCAGAGCACAGTGACCATGCGAAGCCAGACGATTTCACCCAGGTGAGCTTAGCTTACCAGTTGACGACCGAGGGCAGCATACAGTGGGACAGCAGTCCGAGATTTGGGCTCAAGCGGCAGAAACACGTCGGCCATCCTCTGCGGCAAAGAGGGCCAGGCGAAGACGACAAGGGGACGACCAGTAAAGCATCGCATGGTACCAGCAGTATCGCGCCGTGAACCTCGCCACCAGGAACCAGAGCAAGCCCGACACGATCGATGGAAAGAGTTGGGATCTCTTGCACGGCAGCCGGCAGTTTCCACCAAGGCGGCCCGACGACAGCAGCTTAGAGAAATGATAAGTGGTCAAATTACAAGGATTGAGTTGCTGGGGCACCCGCCTCTGCCTGCCACGAGCCTCACAAGGGTGAGCCAAGATGAAGGATGATTCCTTGGCTCTTGACACCGTTCGCAAGACACAATTGGACACAGAACACGTCTTATGGACAGAAGCAGTACTTCAAGTGGCAGAGCGAGCTGAACGTCACGGCAAGAGAGCGTGGCAAAAAGCGAAGCTCAGCATTCAGCGCTGGGCTAAGAAGGCCATGGAAGGCAACATGAAGGACGCGCATGCCTACCTCAAGCGACCTGAATCCCTTTCCCTCCCAGAGTTGCGCATCGACCCAGACAGCAAAGGAGCCATTGCAAATCTCCAGACGGCGGTGGAAACGCGAGCACGACAGCGGAAAGCGAGGTGGTCCAAGCACGACGAGGAGGAGGAGTGCATTGCACAGATGAAGAGGCCCCGCAAGCTCGCGGAGGAAGACCTTCCGTTTCGAGAGGCCATATCGCTGGAACCATTGGAAGGAGCGTTTCGAGCTACGCCGAACTCCTCGGGCCAAGGCTCTGATATGTGGAAGGTACAGCACCTGAAGGCCTTAGCCCCTCAGGCCAAGAGCGAACTTGCGAACCTGCTGACGAACTGCGAGCAGACCTTGGCCTGGCCACATCAATGGTTGCACATCTGGTACGAATTATTGCGAAAAGGCGCCAACCTGAAGGCTGGAGACGAGAGACCGATTGGCCTGATACCATTACCTGTGCGCCTTTGGGGACGGGTACGGCGGCCGACGGTGGCAGAATGGAGCGGCAAGAAGGCAGCCTTCTGGGACGCAGCAGTGGCCAACTCGTGAGCTCTTCAAAGAGCGCTCTTCAGCATGGCCATGGACGAGAGCAGTGCTTGGGATGGAACGCCAACGTGGGGATCCATCTATCTTGATATCAAGAAGTTCTACGACTCGATCAGCATCCCGCTCCTGATCGATTGAGCCTTGAAGCTCGAATTTCCACCAGTGGGACTTTACCTCAACTGCGTTATCTACCTCGCCCCTCGTGCGATCAGAGCGGCTGGGGCATTTGCTCCACCGATCATTCCAGGGAACAGCATTGTCCCTGGGTGTAACAATGCGAATAATGGAGCCAGGGTTTTCTTATACGAGGTCTTGGAGCGAGCTCACAGTCGAGTACCGCGTGCACTTCCGCGCCAGTGTGTGGACGACGTCACAGCGAGATCGGACGGCACATGCCAGCAGGTCGAGCATGATCTTGTCACAGTGGCAGTTGAATTGATCCGAGGCATCGAGAAAGCAGTCTCGAGGGCAGCGCAGCAAGCTGGGGCCACGGTGCAAGGGGCAGCTTTTGTTCGCGACCTGGGCATCGACATGGCGAGAGGACGAAAGAGGAGGACAACCACGGCGCAAGTGAGACGCCGAGCGGCCAAGGCCCAGATACGCCGCGCCAGATTTTTCAAGGGGCAGGCAAACGCAGAAGGAAGCTGGCTACCCTTAACATGGTCAATGTCAGGGCCAAGTCAACGTACGACGTCCCAGCCCTTGGCCAGTCTCCTTCGGCTGTCCGACGTGTGCGAGCTGAAGCGGCCGATATGCTTGGACATACAACAGGAGGCAGAAGCACATCCATGAGCATGCTCTTGCACTACTTCGAGCAGGACCCCAAGGCCGTGGGACTTCGACGTCAAGTCTCAGAGTGGATAAAGCGTTGGAAGCGGTGGCCAGAGTACCACGACAAGCTCAGAGCAGGATGGCATTCAGCTGTGCAGAGACTCCAGCGTGCTCGACCTCGCGGGCGTTGGAACGTAGCCACTGGGCCCATGGCAGCGCTCATCCAAGGCTTGTCTGAGATGGGTTGGCAGCTCCCCGAGCCTAATGAGTGGACGGAATCGCATCAGAATGTTTGGGGGATGACACGAGAACCCAGCAAGTGCACACCTGGCATGGGGAGTGGTGTCCCCGTTGTTCCTTGTGGCGAGACGCTGCAAGATGGGCCAGGCGGTGCGCAGGCAGACGGCGGGGGTCGACAGCTCCCAGACCCTCAACCACAGCCAGCTACGACCAACGTGGGCGGCGAGCACGATCCCTTCGACGACATGGAAGAAACCACGCGGTATGTACCTCAT